ATATGCAAGTTGCATTTGCCCAGTCAAATCTGGTAGGACGTGCCAAAACTTGGGCACTGGGGCTCAAGTTGCACGACCCATATGCGTTTGGGTCGTTGGAAGTCTTCAAGTCGCGGCTCAGACAAACGTTTGAACCGCCTAGAGCTGAGTTCAGGGCTCGAACCGAACTCTTGAAGCTCAAACAGGGTAAGCGTGATGTGCACGCTTACGCTCAACATATACGACATCTTACGAGTTGTATAAGTTCCAACCCGGTTGATGAACACACGTTGGTTTCGGTGTTCATGCAGGGTCTTGCGGATGGTCTCGTCAAAACTCACCTGTTCCGACTTGAACGAGATTCACTAGAACAAGCCATTTCCATTGCGGAGCAGGAAGACTTCAGTCTGAGACAGGCTCGCGCCAGCTCGACATCATATCGTCCACCGAGACGATATGACAACGGAGGTCCAGAGCCGATGGAACTCTGTTATGTAGAGAGCGAGAAGGCTCGCTCTACAGGCTACAAGAAGTTGCAGAGATGCAACAGATGTCAAAAGACAGGACACTACGCTTACGAGTGTAGTGCCCCTCGTCCAGTGTCTCGCGACACTGGGCGTAGTGACCGTCCACCCATGAGAAAGGGGCAGGGACGAGGGTCCGCAGTTGGTGCAAAGACGCAACAACGGGATGGACCGTCAAAAAACGGACAGGATCAGTAGGTGCGGAGCACCCTACTGGTCTAGCAACGCCAAGAGAATTTGTAGGCCTCTTGATGAAGGTTGCTCCCAACACACAAACGTTGTGCGTTGCTGCTCTAGGTAATGAGGTCTCACTCATTACCTTGAAACTCGAAGTGACGAATAAGTTGTCCCTTCGAGCTCTAGTCGATTGTGGGGCGTCCAACAATTTTGTGCGACGCCAATCGCTAGAAGATGGTCACTTTAAATTCAGTGAATGTGACACACCTCCTACGAGGATGACGGTACGTCTTGCGACAGGCGCATCCGTAACCGTCATGAAGCGTATAGTGAAGATCCACTATACGCTAGAAGATACCCAATATGACGATGACTTTATCGTATTGGAATTGGATGACAAATTTGATGTCATCCTTGGAATACCGTGGCTCAGAAGGTACGAACCACGGGTAAACTGGCAACATCGAACAGTAACGATGCCTGCCGCTTGTTCATCAGATGGCCATCTGATGAACGTTTTGGAGCGTCCACAAGCGTGTGGATGTACTACGAGTGAGTGCGATGGCCTCACTTGTGGTACGGTCGTTAGTACGACTGCACAAAACCTTAGTGTACCAAACGGTTACACTTCGGAGCAAAGTTCCGGCGGCTGTGAGGAAACACAGGCTGCGCCGAAGGTCCACCACTCGAATAAGTCGGGTGGACTGGGACAAAGATGTATCCCTAGCGGGGAACATCTAGAAGAGAAACAATCGATCGCTCAGGTTAAGCGAAACGATAATCCTAGATCGACTGGAGAGTCTTTCTTAGAGGATCTCGCTGTGGTTGCGCAACCCCAGCTAGAGGAAGTAAAGGGAATAAGTCCCAAGATTACAAACACGGCAGAAATAAGTTCCCCGAAACCCGCGGGAATAAGTCCCCGGGAAGCCGAAGGAATAAGTCCTTCGAAGCCTGAGGGGATAAGTCCCCAGGAAATGACAGAGACATTGAATGTCATAGTCAATAACGGATCAAGTGTAGGCGCTTATGCACTTGATCTGATTGCGCCTCCGAAGTTAACTTCGGAGATCACTCAGTTGCCAACGCTCGAACATAAAAGGTTCTTGCGTGATCTGCGTAGTGGCAAAGTCAAGCAGATCTGCATACTCGTCGCTGACGACGAGTGTGTAACCGACATAAGGTCAGCAACAGTGTTCACTGAGAACGAGAGAGTTCTCAGTAGTTCATCTATGGACGAGAGTGTCCTAGATGAAAAGACACGAATTGAGCGATTTGACTCCCGATCGTGGGAATCGCTCAAGACAAATCCTCTCTATGAAGATTTGGTTGAATTCAAGGATGTATTCCCTGAAACTGTTCCGTGTGAATTACTGAAGGATAAAGGTATTCGACACGAGGTCGAGCTTAAACCAGGCTCGAAGTACTGTGTCATGAAGCAGTGGCCACTGCCTCGTGAACAAGTACTTGCGATCGACAAGTTCTTTGCCGATCGTTTAGCTGCGGGCCATGTGAGGGAATCAACTTCCCCACATAGCTCTCCGACCTTCTGTGTGCGAAAAGCAACATGAGGGTGGCGGATAGTGCATGCATTTAGCAAGTTGAATGCTGCAACGGTACCGGCTCAGACGCCGATACCAAGGAAGGACGTAATCATTGATGGTATGTCAAAGAGTACCATCTTTTCGTCCATGGATTTGATGGATGGCTTCTATCAAATCCTTATGCGGGAACTGGATATACCCTATACCGCAGTTAGCACGCCTAGCGGCATGCTCTGGGAATGGCTAGTAATGCCACAAGGGCTTAGTAATGCCCCTGCCACGTTCAACAGATGTGTATCACATCTGTTGAGACCAGTACGAGAATTCGCGCCGAGTTATTTCGATGACGTATTCATCCATAGTCGAGCTGTGGATGGAAAGTCGGACGTTGAGGTTCACAGGTACCACGTCCGACAAGTTCTTACAATCATGCGAAAGCATCAATTGTATGCAAACCTCAAGAAGTGTATATTTGCAGCAAGCGAAATACCACTTCTTGGGTGCATCGTTGGTAAGAACGGTGTACGTCCTGATCCCGAAAAGATCAAGGCGATCACCGACTGGCCTGTGCCGGTTGATGTCAAAGGTCTTCGAAAATTCCTTGGGCTAGCGGCGTATTTGCATAAGTATTCACGCAATTACGCCGAGATGCCTTTGCACCTCTCTCGTTTGTTGAAAAAGAACGAGAGGTGGTTATGGAACGCTGAATGTCAACGCTCCTTTGATGGTATCAAGCAGAGCTTGATACAATCCCCACTCCTAGCAATAGCCGATCAGGACAGACCATTTCATGTGGTCTGTCATGCCAGCGATTTCGCAATCGGCTGTGCATTAATGCAGTACGATCTTGAAGACATTGAACGCGTCGTCTGCTATCAGTCGCGTCAGCTGCAACCAGCTGAGCGGAACTATCCAGTGCATGACAAGGAACTCCTTGCCATGACGTATGCACTCGCGAAGTTCAGAGTCTATCTATTAGGAGATAGACCCTTCGTTGTTTACACTGACCATGCGTCATTACGCACGGCAGTGAACAGCCCGCACCTTTCTCAACGAATGGCGCGGTGGTTGTCATTCTTTGCGGAATAAAACTTTACGGTCGAGTACAAACCAGGACGACTTAATGTCGTCGCTGATGCACTCTCACGTCGTCCCGACTTTGAACCAGTCGTGAAACCCAACAGAGAGACAGTCACTGTTGCGGTTATGACGTCCTCAGTCCCATTTACAACGTTGTATGATGATGTAAGGCGGGCATACGCCCAAGATAGTGAGATTGTGAAGTTGTTGACACATCTCTCCCAACCATCCCGAGAATCGTTGAAACGATTGTCGCCTGCGTATCGATCTGCATCAGATCGATACACTACTCGTAACGGTTTACTGTATTATACAGCCGTTTCTGGTGATACACCACGTGTTGTCATTCCAGATGATACTGATCTGCGTTTGCGGATCATGTTCGAGTATCACGATGCTCCTATAGGAGGACATCGTGGCCGCGAGAAAACATATCTCACGGTAAGTCGAGACTTTTACTGGCCCCGCCAGTATCAGTTTGTGCGAAAGTATGTTCGCGCATGCGAAGTCTGTCAACGAGTGAAGTCAAGTCCTTCACTGCGTGCACCTTTACAGCCTCTACCGGTTCCGGCTGAGTGCTGGGAATCCATCTCAATGGATTTCGTCTTCGGGTTACCCAAAGACGCACGCGGGAATACGGGTATTCTCGTATTTGTTGAAAGATTCAGCAAAATGGTACACCTTGTGGCTGTACCAGAGACAATCACGGCAAGTGGCTGTGCTTGTGTCTTTATTGACACCATCTCCCGACTTCATGGGTTGCCCCGTGAACTCGTATCAGACAGAGATCCACGATTCACTGCTGATTTCTGGCGTTTCGTGTTCAAATCACTCGGAACGCGCTTGAAGATGTCTACATCTGATCATCCAGAGTCAGATGGTCAGACGGAACGTGCCAATCGTGTCCTTGAAGAGATACTTCGAGGATACGTACACTCCTTTAAGAGTTAGAGTGAGTTTTTGCCAATGGTAGAGTTTGCCATCAACAACTCGGTGCATGCGTCCACGACACATACACCGTTTTACGTGAATGGCTTGCGCCATCCGCGTGTACCCACCTTACTAGAGTGTAACTCTGGTTTAAGGGGGGGAGGGACTCGCGCGAGCAAAAACCGATTTGGTTCACGCTCATCACGCTCTGACGAAGAAGTCATTGCGTTTGATGCCGATATCGATAACATCGATATCGAAGAAGATGATGCCAGTGAGAGTGCGGAAGCCCTCACTGAAGAAAAGGTTGTTGTTGCTGCAGTGCGCTCACAGCACACTGAAGCTAACGAGTCATCAGATGAGTTCATACTGGCTCGTGAAACGGTAGTCCGTTTTGTGCAAGACTCCATCGCCGAAGCGGTGGATAAGCAAAAGCAAAACGCCGACAAGAATGGAAGGGCAAACACTCTTTTATTTAATAAAGGTGACTTAGTCCTACTGTCTACGGTTAATCTACCAAAGCATGTAGTGACTAACTTGGGTAGCAGTAAACTACTACCCAAGTACATTGGCCCATTTCGTGTATTGCACCGCCTAGGCAATGCATACACGATCGAGTTACCACGTAAGATGCGAACGCATCCCACGTTTTACGTTGGTCGGCTTAAGCCGTACCATCAGTACGCTGCTTCTTCCGATGAAAAACGCCCTTGCGCTCAAGCATCTCGCAGAGAGCCTTGTGCTCCCGATGGTGGGCATCAACAAGGGTCTAAAGAGCAGCTATCTCATCCCGAGACCGATCAACAATCCCAAGAGCTACCCTTAGCTCGTCACGAAGAGATGTCAGAGATCTCTCGTTCTCGAGCTGAGGAAAGGCAAACTCAGCTCGATGCTTCGAGGCAGTGTCCGCCATTTGGAGACGCCTATTCCGCTCATGTTCGAGATCGTCGCGTAACCCTTGCGTTACGCGATCAAAGAAGCTCTCGGGAACACACGGATCCTCATGATCGTGTGGAGAGCGTCTTTCCTCCTCCTCCACCTCCATTAGAGGACTCTCGCGGTGGCCAGCGCTATCTAGTTGAGCAGCTGTTGAACCACCGCGACGTGAACGGACGTCGGACGAGTTATCTCGTCCGATGGCGCGGCTATCCCCCGTCCTGGGATTCTTGGGAGCCCCGCTCCCAACTGATGATCGACGTACTGGGTCTGGTTGAGCAGTACGACGCGGCACATCCTGTGCCGCAGAAGGACCGCCGGAGAAAGTCTTCCCGGCACGGTCGTAAAGGGATTTCAGGTTGTCAATCCCTTCGTACATCTCAGTAGAGATACGTACGCGCCACCACGGGCTGGTAAGGAGGTAAGCCTCCTTAGGTGCTAGTGCAGAGTTGTTCACACAACATGGGCACCAGTCTCCCCAAGAGAGGCAGGGTAATCCTTTCTCCCTTGACAGACGATGCAGCTTGTAGCGTGCACCTGTCGGGGTTTGCTTTTCAAACTTATCACGAGCTTTGATAAGTTTGTCGTTCCAAGCGTCACGACCTACATCCTCGAGGTTATGGATGTAGGCGTTCCACGCTTGAAGTAGTGAGGGACCATCACGCTTGTGATTCCCACTGTACCATCGATGTTTGAAGAAAGCATCGATGAAGAATTCATGTTCAGCGCGATAGTTTTTCGCGCTGGGGTCAAGGTGATGGATCCTTGACGAATCAAACAACCGTGTTCGATAACGAACACTCGTCGTCGCCGACAAGCGATCCATGACTGACTTTTGAGGCAGCCATGCCTTCTTTTCGGGAGCGAGACGCAACACGTTCCGGTCCCGATCTTCTTGCGACGTGCCGACAGAAGTACTGGCACCTCGCTGTGAAGTGGTGTCCATAGGAAAACCGACACCACTGTTAGCGCCCGAGTCTCGCGACCTCGAGCGCCTTCGCTTCGGCGATGGTTCATTTTATTCGTCAGTCGGACCAAAGATGCTACGACGCGTAGCATCGTCCATGCCACGCTTGGCTGGCGGCTTAGATTCAATCGCCGTCGATACAGACCCCTCTTCTGTATCAGGGGAGTACGAGACACCGAGCTCGTACTCTGTGAAGACACGAGTGTCTTCATGACCAGCGCGTGCATCGCCAAGTGACACAGGCTGGGTCGCTTCAGCAACCGATGAGACATCAGTTGCTGTTGTTTCTGCTTCGGCGTCCGCACAGAGACGTGCGGACGCGCTCTCGGCGGCCTTGCTCGCGCATCGCAGTGGCTTGTTTACCATGCGATGAAATGTTGGAAAGTGGACGCGGACCAACAAGTGCAAACCCTGTCCCAAATGATTTGGGACGAGTATCCATTTAGTCAATCAGTCACTAAAGTGACTGATGGTTAAGGGGGGGTGATGTAACGGGGTGAATCGTTACATAACAATTTATAAGAAATTGTTAATAGAATATCACTATAAGAGTTATATTCTCAGAATATTGTCATAAGGACAAATATTCTGTAGCACTTACGAGTAAATCCTAATTGGTTGATATAGGCCATTATATCAACCAACGAAGACGCGCCACGACAGACGCACGCAATGAGTGGTGAGCAGATAACTGATTTACACATTTGTATTTAGACATAGTCAGATGAAGATAAATAGTGATTTATTGCAGACATTAACTATTATAAATACAGTTCTACTTTTTACTCTAACCGAGTACTCGCTTCTTCTTACCGTCTTCCTCTGTACGTACCAGTGTACGTGAAGTTACGAGGCACCGCCTTATTCTGTCATGAGAATAAGTAGCTTGTACTGTCACCAGTACAAGCTTCAGGGTGCCCCGTTACAACTGAGACATATGCGTTATTCCTTCACCAAATTTTACCTCTCTATATCAGATGTTAATATCTCAGTAGTGTGTTATGGATCTCTGCTTCACCGTCTTCACGATGGTGACCCGTAAACTTTGGTTTCCATATGCGCTCCCTACAATACTCTTGGACGACTTTATTTCAACTGCTGCGCCGTAGATTCTCAAACACGTTCATGTGTAGTAATTACACTCTCAGCAGCCCCTACCGATGCATAGATCGTGTCTGTAGGCGGTAGATCTGGCATCTGCACATCACGTATCAATGAAATCAAAGCGTGAGTCAAAAAGTGAGATCACAGTCAGCGGGTTCTAAATCCTCAGCAAGAGTTTAGTGTGCAAATCGTTGCCTGTTCGGTATTTCTTGACCATCCACCTTTTGCTTTTACACGGGAGTTTTAAAGGCCACGTACCCTTAGCCTCGTGTTCTTAAAATATAACTAAAGCAAGAGATCAGGAAGCAGACGATGCAATATTAAAAAAGAGATCGCAATAACTATTATGCAAAGAACGTGAGGTGGGATGAGGTGAAGATTGAAGGAGGAATTTTATACTTTGCACTGTGACTTGCTCCCTTATCTTATAATGCAATTCAGGAGGAACCGTCATTGTTATATAAGAATAATTGCGAGTCCGAAGGGTGAAGCTATTTGTAACTGTGCGCAAGGAGAATACCATACTTTAAGATCGTACCAATCCGTCTGTGTTGGTCCGTGTGTTGGTAAGTAACGCTTGATGTACTTTTAAAGACGTTCTAAATGCGATCCAGCCTGTTCCCGTCTGATACATATACAGGCACACTCGAAGTCACTATTGTGACGCCCGCACGTGATTTGCTTCAGACCGATCAAAGGTGAATATTATCATATAAGCAAATAGTGGACGCTCATGAGCAAAGACTGACCGCGTTGCCCAAGTAAACTGTACTGGATTAACACAGACTTATTTCGGCACCATGCATGCTCCTTCTTCAGTGACTGCTATTGTAAAGTGTTAAACATCTTGATCCATTTCTCCGACAAAAGGCTAGCTCGAGAGCTTGCTTTCATATCCTATCTCGACTATGTGATGTCACGTAGTAAGCAGGGGATGTCAACCAAATTAGTCTCTGAAAAAGGATAGTTCAGTCATAATTTGATCGGGTATAATTGATTAATATCAAAAAGTGTCACATTTTGATCAGCCAGAACAAATTACCGGTACAATGACCCTCTATCGCCCAGTGCGTTTAACTGCTCTCTTATTTTAGAGAGATTTGCAATGGAGATCATGTACCATCATCATTGCTTCGACGAGCAAGTCCATCCTAAAGCTACTATGTCACCTCAATTCTAGAAGCAGATCAGATTGCACCTGTTTGCATGGACCGCTTTAAATTTCACGACCAGTCTTTTATTGATTATCAAATTTTCGAGCTTTCTGACATGACCTGATACTACAATCTCAAGACGCCGATTCTATACGCTATGTTGATTCGTTATCTGCAGTGGTGACCGCAAAGAGCAATACTCTACACTGAAAGAAGTAGGTGCCTCCTTCATACCAGCATGCACGTCCGAATGGACCTCAGGCAAAACCCTAAGGATAGACATAACGGAGCCCTCCTCCACCACGTACATGGCATTTTTCGGACTGGTCCGGTGCGTGAACACGACGTAGATAGTCCATGCAGCCACGTGGAGTGTAATGACAAACACTTGAGGTCCTGCAATGATCCAGTTCGAAGTCATCAAACCGAATGCAAACCAGCCACATGTATCGATGGTAGTGACAGCCAAAGACCGCGGCACAATCGACGCAGCAGATCGGTGGTAGATTGCACGCAGCAGATTCTTCAGCATAAGCAGGTGACTAATGACGACAGTCACGCCGCAGAAACACAAGCCGTGTGTTTTCCAGACCTGTGCTCGTGTCTGATCGGTGAGGCCCAAACTGCCAACAATGACGTAGAACGTTGGTACTGCAAGCCAAGCAAACATGATGCTGATCGTTTGGGCCACTTGGCGTCGATCGTCTGAGTACCGCCAGAAGATGTAGAGGTAGCATACTGAGACGATGTCACCGAAGAGGAAAACAAGGAAACCGAGGAGCCACTTTCGACCCAAGTACCCGTACATCATCCAGACGTGCGAGTTGGCAAGCCCAAGAACGATAGGAATGAGGGACGCGGAGCCAACAGCTTTTTCTCGGTAGATCTTACGAACAAGGAGGAACGGAATGCAGATTACTAGCAGCGTACTGCATATGACACAGAAGCGAACGACCAAGGCAATGTCGCTATCGACCATCGTATCAGGATTCCAAATGTACTGGAGGTGTGCTGATGGCAAATTGAAAAGTGAATCTTTGGATGAAAGGCTGTCGCAGTTTCCGATGAGTGGTGGTTGCTCGATCGGATTCTTGTGGTCGCTAACAATTTGGCAGAGCCGAAGACTGTCTGGTTGAAGACAAGCGGTGGCTGGCTTGATGCATCTATTTGTGTCGCGCGGAAGGACGACGCATACGAAAAGTAGGTGTGACTCATTGGAGTTGTAGAGAGCCACCTGCACATCATGAGGAAGACTGACGGACCTGCTTCACAATTGACGCTCGGACTCTGACAGCACGACCACGGATAAGATTACGGCTCTTTGCGATTACTTTACACATCTGAATCGCATGCGCTTCGTCAGTAAAAATACGACATACGCACCGTCATAAAACTCGTGCTCGACAGCTACGTATTTTTCCTGGATGCGCAAAGTTGGGGCCACTTTCGTGCTGTGCAGTAAAGTGTGTGCATGGCATTGTCTGGACTTCTGATTCGATTTGATGGCAAAAAGGCTGGTACACGAGTTATTGGCTTAACAGTGTATTAGTTAAAGAGCAGTTTGCGTAAAATACGTGTCACTGCAAACACTGAACCTGATGCGGCAGCGCACGCGTATAAGTTCATGCAGCACAAATGGGATACGTCAAGTCGGTACAGCCGTGCAATGGTGTAAACAGGAGGGCCATTGTTTGGACAAGGTTCACTTACCGATCTCCCACAACGACGCCAAAGAAGGTGCAAGAAACTTTGCTGCTTGTTCGTTGTTCGCACATATATCGTCGATAGCAAATCTACGATCCTTAGTGTTTATCGATCACTGTATCTTGTTGTAATCCAGAAACAGATAAGACATTACTAATGATGATAAAATGACAATTCTGAAGCCATCTAGCCGGCACTCCTTGACATCTCACACATCATTTGTACAAGAAAGGAAAGATCGTCTAATGCTTTCGTTCGACATATATGAAGGCGCACCATCAGTTCTTAGAGTTGCACCTACCAAGCATGATTCGGATCGAAACATGCAGCATTCCCCAGCTGTAAGTACGTAAGTGCAAGCGACGTAAAGGCTACATATCAAAGGAAACTAGGTGAACTCATGCAAAATGATCGTCTACGTGTTGTTTAAATATCACAGCACCCGTCAATCAGAAAGTTCTACATTTAACAAATGGCACCTTGGTTATGGGAGACTCATATACTCCATTTTGAGCCGATTAAATCCTAACGCACTGCGGGCAGCTTTGTAGACGATGTTGGGCATTTAAGTTTGTCAATCTTTGTTTTGCAGGCGAATCCTATTTGCACCACATAGATCGCGTTATACGAATAAATATCACACGTAGCTTTCGTGTAAACGTACGACGAACTCGGCACGGCTCTACCGTTGCAGGCCCTCTACTCATGTATACAGATGTTGTAATGTAATGTTTTCCCCGATTCTCTAGCTTGTCCTTAAGTCCATATTCGAGGCTTCTTCATCGCAATCCTTCTTTCCTAGCCAAGGTTCTCACCCCGTGAATGTTCAGCTCTACTGTAAGGCACTATTTCTTACACGTATGTGTAACACGCAACAAAGATTAAACATGATAGGCATCTTTCGCTTTCAGTAGGCTGTCGATCTTTCGCACGAATACATTCTCCCTAGTTTGTTTCGATTGAATTAAATTGTACGCAAAACATGCTCCATGGTGAATGATGTTATTGTAAAGCTTTATAAAATTATGATCGCCAAATTCCATGGCTTCGGTTGCTTGCATCCGAGATCTCGATAACCGATTTTATGTTGTAGCTTGCGCGCGATATCCACTTGAACAAGATCACGCCACGTGGCCCACTATTATGTATTATGGTCAACTGACGTTTTAAAAAAAAATTAATTCCATTTAAAGCTGCAGTTTAAAGTATTCAACAGCGATAGTTAGAGACTTAAGTACGAATAAGCTGCTTTAGCACCATTAGCGCGTCTCTAGTTTGCAATTTGGAGCGAATTTCACACGTAGACACAATACGGAGTATGAGCAAAGCTACTAGGGATAAGAAGCATAATTTTTCGTTTTCGATCCCCAAAGTTGCTGTCCTAGCCATATGGTGGGACGATCATATTTGTTGTTATAAACATATCGAGTCAACATTGTTGTATCGTCTCTAGTACTATTTTGAATATCGTGAAGTCATTCCTACAAAAAACTGAATTACTGAACTAACTTGAATATTCCATTTGTGATAAAAACATGCAGCCTGAGGATTTGATGCACTCAATATCGACTCCTCCCAATTTTATTTAGGGTTGAGCATCGAACTTTCTCGCAATAACTATCCGCCTCCCACACTTACGGAGCTCTGATAAATTAATCAAAGGAAAGCAACAGACATATAATATATGATTGGTCAGACAAGGAATGCAAAATAAAAAAAAATTCTATCATCAGCTGGTACATAGAAAACCTACTCGCATTTGAGACTGCGGAAGCATCTGCTAACCCTACGCCTCGTCAACGGTGCGGACGATATGCTTAGCCAGGGCATAATGCTCGTACATGCCACGCCGTTGTCAATGCAGATACAGCAGTAATTAAAAGTATAGAAGTAGCGCGAAAAATAATCGACTTTTAAGATCACCTGCTATACCAATTACAAGTACCTGTGAATCTTGATAGGCGTCTGTTAAATGTGCTATTCAGATTGAGAGGGAAAACGGTCTATTAGAGCTACTAATTAAAGCTAAGATGTCTTTTAGAATAACAGCTTGTTTTATAAAATTTACGCAATCTTCTTACTTCTAGCCTACTCATTCTTCCATTTCATGACTCCACGCTTCACGACGGGGAACTCCCACAAAGGTCTGTGCAACAGTCAACAGTCCGTTGGTCAAGGCCAGAAATAGCTTCTGGTGTGCGCTCCAACCTGAATGGCTGGATTACAATCGCTTTCGAAGCATTCGATTCAGGAGACAGCAGACACTTAACAAGGAGTCCAATGCCATCGCGGTAATCTCAGTGAGTCATCATGAGATAATTCCTGGTATTCACCTCGTAGTCGACTAAATCTGCTCTCCGGGTCGGATCGTAGGGTCAGCAACGAGCTAGAATTAGCCTAGACGCACCACTGGTAGGATATTATCTGTTCATTTGCTATCAAACACAGACAACCGGTAATGGGTCTCAACACGGTCTGTTGGCAATACACAATACTCATGGAAAAGGATGAAAAAATACTAAATTATGATGACAGAATACTAAATTAGGATGACTGACTGTTCCGTACTTTACTCATTAGCCTAACCCTCTTTGCTCCAACCGTTACAAATCGTTCGGTCGCTAGCACTATCTACTTCCATTTAATATGCATGCAGCAATTGATGTATGGTACTAATCTCGGATTCAGCTTCGATAATCGTTAAATTACAAAACTCCTCCTCGAGTGCGCCTACCATTCCTTTCCTCTATCCGATGCATAGTAACGCACGAAAGGATGCTAGCCTTGTATTATCATGAGCCTTCGTCAATAGATTTGCAATCATCATCTCCGACCTCAGGTAGTACGCAGCGATAACACCGCGGCACAAATATGCGTAGGGACGTAGCTCGAACATCGATGTGCTTGGCCTTCAATGATGATGCTTAGCCTGAAATACGAATAATGACCTCTTGGTTGGCGACAAAACGCTTCATTGGCAATACCAGTCCCACGCCAAACTTGCTGAGCATCTCACGTAGTCCAAGCAACTCGCGTGCCATCTCCAAAGCGGCAACAAGCTCGGCTTCCATAGTCGACATTGATGCTCCTCCCTGTCCGCGATTTTCTCATCTCACCGCCAAATCATTTTAACGCAGCCCGCCACCGGTAAAAGACTTTCTGTCGACCTTGTCGCCCGCAAAGTCAGCATCGCTGAATGCAGTTTTCTTGCGCCGGCTTCAATTTAATCTTGAAATTGCTGTGTCCTTCTAGTATCGAGCAATCGTTTTAGCGAGTTTCCAGCCGAACATACGCGGCGCGTGTGTCTGTTGTGTAACCTTGTGTACCGCGAATGCGATGTCGGGTCGCGTACCGCGCATAATTTTAGCAACTTTTTGACCAGCAATTAAATATCGCGTACCGTTGGGCCAATGCCCGTGATCGTCGATTCAAGCAGCTCCACATCATTAGCTAACACATTGTAGCAATCATCGCCAATCGGAGCGCGCGTCGAATTTGCTTCTCCGAACCTGTTGACCCGCAAAAGATCACTAATCACCTCCTCCTGGTCCTAGTTGTATCCCCTGTAATGTAACGTGCACTTTGCATTTAAGATTTTTTTTACTTTTTCCAGATCTTAAATCGATTGTAACGCAATGCTTTTGATTAGTCGGTTGATTTTAACTGCATACGTTCCGGTAATCAAAATGTCGTCCACACTGACTTCCACGAAGACAAGAATATCGCCTTCGTTAATCCAGTAAAAACTCACACCGCTTTCGCAGCGATCGATCCTGCCTCGACAAAACACTCGTGCAGAAGCTGGCTCCACAGTCGACCAGCCGATTCAGTCCATAGAGACTCTTCTTATTCTCCAGGACAGACTCCTTTGAACCCTCTACTACTTTTAACACGCATGGTTTTTTTGATAGTCCTAAACTGCGCAGCACATGTAAACAAATTTGTAGTTGCTCCTCCTTGTCTGCCTTGGCCAACGCGCTTGGGATGTCGCCTTTCTTGGCAGGCACCCCCCATATCAGCCAGCGACAGTATAATCTTCACAGTTGACAGGTTCATGACTGCTGCATATGTGATAATGTAGTCGACCCCTAGCACTTTTTCGTTGACGTAGGTAACGAGGCACGCCTTCAGTCGTTCGATCTTGCCTTGCGCTACAGTCTTGGTCTTTAACACCAAGTTCGCATGCAAGATGTTAGATCCAGCCGCACGCTTAACTACCTGTCATACTTAATTTTCTGAATGCCTCTACCTTCTACCTTCGCTTCGACCCATCCGTCGCGTTTTTTGCTATAAATGGCTTCTCTGTAGTCAGCCATATCCTTTTCGCAAGTAGCATTCACGACGCTATCGCTTAATCTCGAATCCTCCTGAAGTGCGACTGTCTGCGCACGCTTCGAAGCACCGCGAGTGCCGTGTACAGCCCTTGCCCACGTCTTCTTTTTCTTCTTCCGTGCATTATTGCTGGTAAAATTGCTTGTGTCGATTGTTGTTGATGATCTTGATTCGGGTATAACAACGTAATCGTCCTCATCGATCATCGCTCTGCGAAGATGCGCGTTTTGTGGTTCAGACAGCGTGTTGATGTTCTTGACATGCTGCATTAACTTCACCTTGATCTCCTTTTTCATGTAAACCTTGTACTCTGATATAATTGATTATCCCGAAGATTGTAGCAATCTGCGCTCGTTTTTTTACCACATTAATGCTTATGTTGCGATACACGCTAAATTTCGAACCGAACACGACGATCTTACGCAATCCGGCACATGTGCAGTCAACAATTCTAGCGACGACGCTGGATTTAAGTTTGCGTGTGTAGAACTGAGAATTAGATTGTACGAAGCGTACTGAAACGCACCTTTCCAGAAGTGAACTTGTAAATGCACGCAAAATTTATTATCCGCACTAAATTTAGTGTTGTCCTGTGCATGTGCCCTGCCTTGCCAAAGGAAGGCTAAATTTCTGCTTCCGACATTGCCTTGTTGCCCTAGACTTCTTTCAAAGAGATCTATGTTGGCGAAGTCTGCCGTCAGTCCTCATCGCGTGAGTCTTATTATATGTAAAAATATTCTTGAAAATAACGAGAAAGGCCTTGAACTGCTTAGCCGCAACTTCCTCGTCCGCGCAGAAAATTTACGGTTGTAATTCTAGATCTGGTCAACAAAATTAATCAAATATCGAATTCCGAGCTTATCCCGCAGAGTCATCGAACCTATCAAATTTGAGCAGATTTATCCACCGACTCTATCTTCAGGCGCGTTGGTGCCACCGTTCTCCTGTTTTTGGGTGTTTGCAAGTCTGCTTACCAGGCATGCACAAGCCACGCCAAATTCTTGCTGCTAACTATCCTATCCCGGAGGATGGTTCCCGAATTATACGATCAAAGGTGTCAAACGCCTAATGCCCTAATTGCTGGTGAAAGTGTAAATGCGTGCCATCTTGCACATCTCTCGCAACATTTGCGCTTTTACCACATTCGAGAGCAGCCATGACAATTTTGCCTGCTCTCTTTATCTCCATTTCGCTGACAACCTTACGTGTAAACGTTTCTAAAAATATTCGAACGCGACGGCAACGTCACTGCGCCGAGCATGTGACCGCCTCTTTCTATCGCAAGTAATAGCAAATCCCTTACTTTCGAGCGCACCGTACGATACGGTTTTATTCCAGTTCTGGCGTCTGAAAATCATGCGTAAGAGTCACGATGCTTTCCACGTCGCGAGCTATCACTTCTAGACGCACGCTGCCGACTCGCGTCAGGTTCCTAGTTTTTGTTAGACAAAGCTGCAATTGGCCACCCCGTAACATAAGTAGTTTCGATCTAGTTTACATGTTACATAAGTAGGGGTGCTACTTTCGAGGTAGCGGAAGCAGCACGTCGTATAATCTAGCTGGTCTAATGGGCTTGGTCCCATTATTAGCCAGTAAGATATAGGCACTTAGATTGAGTGGTTCCCATGAGTCCAAGGAAACCATTCGTACTTAAAATAATTTAAAAGGCAAAATTTTAAAACAGATATAAAAAATACTTAAAACCTAAAACAAGGGTCCAGGCTTCCGAAGCACAGACAGTGTAAGTTAGTACGGGTTGTTCTAGCCCCGTTACAAAAGCGATATCTCGGCTGCATGCAGTCGTCAAAAACTTCTCGTCATTCCCCTAATGTCAAATTGCGCCACTGTCGAATATTCAGTCACTACCATTGCAGCCATTTAAGAAGTCCACTTCAAGTACCATGTCCCGCTTGATCATCCTGCTGTATTTCGGTTTCTTCAATAGCTTCTTCGCATTCGTTTTGCGTATTGCGAGCACCATACTGCCCCCTAAGCTGTCGTCCTTTTATACTTCGCTTCTCATTTCATACTCTGACCGACAGTCAGATTGCACGTGACCCACATGATCGGATGCGTAGCAGGTTTGTGGGTCTCTTTGCTTCAAGTCGATATGAGAAGAGATTGCTTTGCATCCATTTGCCCCGCTGCTGAGCTCGTTTTACTGGGCAATGTGCGACAGCTCTTCTGCATGTCGTAGATAGACGACACGCGTCGGGTCGGGCTTGACCTGCATGACGTTCAACAGCTCAGGCGACGCATGGTGCACGATGTTATCGAAGATAAGCGAGTCGGCACATCCGAGCGCGTCCCTTACCGCAACCGTGTAAAGATAGCGCTCTGCCCAGGTGCACTCGGTTTCTTCATTTTTCATGACAAGCTTCATCGACTGGCTAGACTTAATAGTCGACTTGAACGTTGAAAGCAGCTAAAACACATCACAGTTTAGTTTCGGCCTCTGGTTCCACCACGTGTCTACCTGATTGTGGTAGTATCGCTTAGCCATTTTGCTGAGGTGGTGATTAAGAAAACCAACCTTGGCAACTCAACTCCAAGTGAAACCACACGAGGACTCAGCCAGGTGGTACAGCGCGCAAGAACGTGCGATTACAATCAAGGATTCCAGACCCAAAATCTGTGGAAAGCTTAGTTCCGAAAAACCTCCGAATTGATAGCTTGCGCTGACTCGCATTCGGTGTTGCATAAAACGCTGTTAACGCAGGAGGTTGCATCAACGGTGTTGGTCCTGCTGTCGCGGAGTCATTGCGAAAGTCAGAGTGCGTGCGCCTACCGAAGCAAACGAGGCAAACATCGATTCTACAATATCAGGTACACGCGCATGCAGTGGCCGCGGATCCGACTTGTTCTCGGGCGAGTCCGCTAGCTCGGCGATGGTCACAGGCCTTGCTCGCGCTTTCGAGCCCAGCGCTGATGCCCACCATTTGCTCTCGACGCCACCCAACATTCTCTCTTGATCTTCACGCTCGCGCTAAGAAGACTCCAGCTTTACCGTGCAATCGACCAGAGCTGCGGGGGCCGCAAAAATCTCGTCGTCTGTAACCGAGTTCTTTTTGTGAGCTGTCGAGTCCTTAACGGCTTCGAAAGAGTTTGCAGGTAATGCAACGCGCGCCTGCGAGGCACCACGATTTAGCGAGACCCTTTCCTAACCTGTTAGTGCCAGTTTAGCTTTCGTTTCCGTTGTCTTAGACATTAAGCTCATAACCTGCTTGTTGTGTAGAATCGTTAGGGAAAAGGATGGTTAGATTCTTAATTGAGGTGACTTATTCTTCCGTGAGTTACTTTTCCACCTTACCCTATCTGCTCAAACCGAATTAAAATGGTTGGTCACTAGCACTAGCTGCTCCCATTCACTTTTCGCATGCAGCAAATGATGTCTGGCATTGATCACAGCTTTAACTTCAGTGAATCTTAAAACTTCAAAGGGTCATTAAGTCAGTCTTGCGGGAGTTCTCTTTGTAGGACTTGGCTCAAGCTTATCTAAGGGTCCAGCGTTAAATTTTGCCGTTCAACACGGTTTCTCGATTTGTTCATTACGTTTTGTTGACCAATCAGAGCATTGTAGGTGTGAGGAGGAGGATAGATATTTCGAGGGGGATGGATGCTGAACTCCTCCTTTTTATTCTTTTCCTGTGGATTCATTTGAAATTATCAAGTAGCTACTGTGTCAATGTGGCGTACATATTCAATCCTCGATGTGCAAGACCGCCTTGCTTCTTGCAGTGAATCGACAGCAGTAACTCTAAAAAAATAAAATCGGTTATCAGTAATCATATTATTTATGTCGTCACACTTAGATATTATATGTAAATGTGTAGGATGTACTACGTGCTATCCGCAAAAACCAGGATATGATTCTGGCATAGACCACCTCGAAGCGCAATGCTACAGAAGAAATTGCAAGCCCGAAGTTTGAAGCTTTGAGTGTCTGTGCGCAAGTTGGATGCGACACTTTTAAAATAGTACTTTTTGTCTGCTCGATTGTCTGTTTGCCAGTGTGTCTGTCTTAATACCAAGGCGCGTTATTTGCCAACACCCTAACACCCGGGCGGACAGATAAGTACGATGTAATAAGTTCGGCATTCACCTTGCGCACAGTCTCTCATAGCTTCACCCTTCGGGCTCTCAATGAATTACTGGGTGCAAGGTCCATGAACAAACCAACCTTATTCGATCTATGGATTACATCACTTTTTAAAGAGCTAGCTTCAGAGCTTGAATTTTAATCTTATGGCTAGACTGAGATACTGGGGTTATGCGGTTACCAAATAGAATCCATAACCATGCGATCTAATTTAACGGCATCATGTCGAGTACGTCAACTTCACAAACTTTTCTCTTATCGGACCAATGTAACAGGGTGAACCGTATCATAATAATTTATAAGAAATTGTTAATAGAATATAACTATTAGAGTTATGTTCTCATGTTATTGTCATAAGGACAATATTCTGCAGCACTTACGAGTAGTTCCTAATTGGTTGGTATTGGCCATTATATCAACCAACGAAGACGCGCCACGACAGACGCACGCAATGAGTGGTGAGCAGATAGTTGATGCACACGTTTGTATTCAGACACAGTTAGATGAGGATAAACAGTGGTTTATTAACAGACACTAACTATTATAGATACAGTTCTACTTTTTACTTTAACCAAGTACTCGCTTCTTCTTACCGTCTTCCTCTGCACGTACGAGTGTACGTGAAGTTACGAGGCACCGCCTCATTCTGTCATCATAATAAGTAGCTTGTACTGTCATCAGTACAAGCTTCAGGGTGCCTCGTTACACCTGGTAGCACTTCGTAGTCCGTCCAAGGACCGCGTTCACATCCAACATGAATATGTTGGATGATGAAGATGACCAAAGCTTTCACGCTACGCGTGACGGCTACTCCCATTTGAGCGATGTCGAATGGGATGCGGTTGAACGAATGGGTTCGACCATGGGCATCCATGCTGTTAGCGTCATGCTAGAGGCTCTCAATATAGATGCCCAACATGCTACTATCGCCAAGTTCATTCAAAATGAACTTGACGCAGAACGCGAGAAAGTAGCCTTGCTTCACCAACAAGGTTCTCAACAAGCAGAGTTGTTGAGAGAACAGGGTGCTCAACAGTTTGAACTGTTGAGACAGCAGCAGGCTGCTGCTGGCGGGTCGATGCACTCGCGTCGACCCGAGACTTTGAAGATTGACATCTCCAAGTATAGGTGAGTCGAAGAAGACTCCCTCTTGAGATGGTTCGTCGAATTGGATGACGCCATAAGGGCGCGTCGCATCGACGACGGGGATATGCAAGTTGCATTTGCCCAGTCAAATCTGGCAGGACGTGCCAAGACTTGGGCACTGGGGCTCAAGTTGCACGACCCATATGCGTTTGGGTCGTTGGAAGTCTTCAAGTCGCGGCTCAGACAGACGTTTGAACCGCCTAGAGCTGAGTTCAGGGCCCGAACCGAACTCTTGAAGCTCGAGCAGGGTAAGCGTGATGTGCACGCTTACGCGCAACATATACGACATCTCACGAGTTGTATAAGTTCCAATCCGGTGGATGAACACACGTTGGTTTCGGTGTTCATGCAGGGTCTTGCGGATGGTCCCGTCAAGACTCACCTGTTCCGGCTTGAACGAGATTCACTAGAACAAGCCATAACCATTGCGGAGCAGGAAGACTTCAGTCTGAGACAGGCTCGCGCCAGCTCGACATCATATCGTCCACCGAGACGATATGACAGCAGAGGTCCAGAGCCGATGGAACTCTGTTATGTAGAGAGCGAGAAGGCTCGCTCTACAGGCTACAAGAAGTTGCAGAGATGCAACAGATGTCAAAAGACAGGACACTACGCTTACGAGTGTAGTGCCCCTCGTCCAGTGTCTCGCGACACTGGGCGTAGTGACCGTCCACCCATGAGAAAGGGGCAGGGACGAGGGTCCGCAGTTGGTGCAAAGACGCAACAACGGGATGGACCGTCAAAAAACGGACAGGATCAGTAGGTGCGGAGCACCCTACTGGTCCAGCAACGTCAAGAGAATTTGTAGGCCTCTTGATGAAGGTTGCTCCCAACACACAAACGTTGTGCGTTGCTGCTCTAGGTAATGAGGTCTCACTCATTACCTTGAAACTCGAAGTGACGAATAAGTTGTCCCTTCGAGCTCTAGTCGATTGTGGGGCGTCCAACAATTTTGTGCGACGCCAATCGCTAGAAGATGGTCACTTTAAGTTCAGTGAATGTGACACACCTCCTACGAGGATGATGGTACGTCTTGCGACAGGCGCATCCGTAACCGTCATGAAGCGTATAGTGAAGATCCACTATACGCTAGAAGATACCCAATATGACGATGACTTTATCGTATTGGATTTGGATGACAAATTTGATGTCATCCTTGGAATACCGTGGCTCAGAAGGTACGAACCACGAGTAAACTGGCAACATCGAACAGTAACGATGCCTGCCGCTTGTTCATCAGATGGCCATCTGATGAACGTTTTGGAGCGTCCACAAGCGTGTGGATGTACTACGAGTGAGTGCGATGGCCTCACTTGTGGTACGGTCGTTAGTACGACTGCACAAAACCTTAGTGTACCAAACGGTTACACTTCGGAGCAAAGTTCCGGCGGCTGTGAGGAAACACAGGCTGCGCCGAAGGTCCACCACTCGAATAAGTCGGGTGGACTGGGACAAAGATGTATCCCTAGCGGGGAACATCTAGAAGAGAAACAATCGATCGCTCAGGTTAAGCAAAACGATAATCCTAGATCGACTGGAGAGTCTTTCGTAGAGGATCTCGCTGTGGTTGCGCAACCACAGCTAGAGGAAGTAAAGGGAATAAGTCCCAAGATTACAAATACGGCGGGAATAAGTTCCCCGAAACCCGCGGGAATAAGTCCTCGGGAAGCCGAAGGAATAAGTCCTTCGAAGCCTGAGGGAATAAGTCCCCAGGAAATGACAGAGACATTGAATGTCATAGTCAATAACGGATCAAGTGTAGGCGCTTATACACTTGATCTGATTGCGCCTCCGAAGCTAACTTCGGAGAGCACTCAGTTGCCAACGCTCGAACATAAAAGGTTCTTGCGTGATCTGCGTAGTTGCAAAGTCAAGCAGATCTGCGTACTCGTCGCTGACGATGAGTGTGTAGCCGGCATAAGGTCAGCAACAGTGTTTACTGAGAACGAGAGAGTTCTCAGTAGTTCATCTATGGACGAGAGTGTCCTAGATGAAAAGACACGAATTGAGCGATTTGACTCCCGATCGTGGGAATCGCTCAAGAAAAATCCTCTCTATGAAGATTTGGTTGAATTCAAGGATGTATTCCCTGAAACTGTTCCGTGCGAATTACCGAAGGATAAATGTATTCGACACGAGGTCGAGCTTAAACCAGGCTCGAAGTACTGTGTCATGAAGCAGTGGCCACTGCCTCGTGAACAAGTACTTGCGATCGACAAGTTCTTTGCCGATCGTTTAGCTGCGGGCCATGTGAGGGAATCAACTTCCCCACATAGCTCTCCGACCTTCTGTGTGCGAAAAGCAACATGAGGGTGGCGGATAGTGCATGCATTTAGCAAGTTGAATGCTGCAACGGTACCGGCTCAGACGCCGATACCAAGAAAGGACTTAATCATTGATGGTATGTCAAAGAGTACCATCTTTTCGTCCATGGATTTGATGGATGGCTTCTATCATACCCTAATGCGGGAACTGGATATACCCTATACTGCAGTGAGCACGCCTAGCGGCATGCTCTGGGAATGGCTAGTAATGCCACAAGGGCTTAGTAATGCCCCTGCCACGTTCAACAGATGTGTATCACATCTGTTGAGACCAGTACGAGAATTCGCGCCGAGTTATTTCGATGACGTATTCATCCATAGTCGAGCTATGGATGGAAAGTCGGACGTTGAGGTTCACAGGTACCACGTCCGACAAGTTCTTACAATCATGCGAAAGCATCAATTGTATGCTAACCTCAAGAAGTGTATATTTGCAGCAAGCGAAATACCACTTCTTGGGTGCATCGTTGGTAAGAACGGTGTACGTCCTGATCCCGAAAAGATCAAGGCGATCACCGACTGGCCTGTGCCGGTTGACGTCAAAGGTCTTCGAAAATTCCTTGGGCTAGCGGCGTATTTGCATAAGTATTCACGCAATTACGCCGAGATGCCTGTGCACCTCTCTCGTTTGTTGAAAAAGAACGAGAGGTGGTTATGGAACGCTGAATGTCAGTGCTACCTTGATGGTATCAAGCAGAGCTTGATACAATCCCCAGTCCTAGCAATTGCCGATCAGGACAGACCATTTCATGTGGTCTGTGATGCCAGCGATTTCACAATCGGCTGTGCATTAATGCAGTACGATCTTGAAGGCGTTGAACGCGTCGTCTGCTATCAGTCGCGTCAGCTGCAACCAGCTGAGCGGAACTATCCAGTGCATGACAAGGAACTCCTTGCCATGACGTATGCACTCGCGAAGTTCAGAGTCTATCTATTAGGAGATAGACCCTTCATTGTTTACACTGACCATGCGTCATTACGCACGGCAGTGAACAGCCCGCACCTTTCACAACGAATGGCGCGGTGGTTGTCAGTCTTTGCGGAATACAACTTTACGGTTGAGTACAAACCAGGACGACTTAATGTCGTCGCTGATGCACTCTCACGTCGTCCCGACTTTAAACCAGTCGTGAAATACAACAGTGAGACAGCCACTGTTGCGGTTATGACGTCCACAATACCATCTTCAACCTTACCTGATGATGTGAGGCGGGCGTATGCCCAAGATGGTGAGATTGTGAAGTTGTTGGCACATCTCTCACAAACATCTCGAGAATCGTTGAAACGATTGTCGCCTGCGTATCGATATGCATCAGATCGATACACTACTCGCAACGGTTTACTGTATTATACAGCCGTTACTGGTGACACACCACGTGTTGTCATCGCAGATGATACTGATATGCGTTTGCGGATCATGTTCGAGTATCACGATGCTCCTATAGGAGGACATCGTGGTCGTGAGAAAACATATCTCACGGTAAGTCGAGACTTTTACTGGCCCCGCCAGTATCAGTTTGTGCGAAAGTATGTTCGCGCATGCGAAGTCTGTCAACGAGTGAAGTCAAGTCCTTCACTGCGTGCACCTTTACAGCCTCTACCGGTTCCGGCTGAGTGCTGGGAATCCATCTCAATGGATTTTGTCTTCGGGTTACCCAAAGACGCACGCGGGAATACGGGTATTCTCGTATTTGCTGACAGATTCAGCAAAATGGTACACCTTGTGGCTGTACGAGAGACAATCACGGCAAGTGGCTGTGCTTGTGTCTTTATCGACACCATCTTCCGACTTCATGGTTACCCTGTGAACTCGCATTAGACAGAGATCCACGTTTCCCTGCTAATTTCTGGCGTTCCGTGTTCAAATCACTCGGAACGCGCTTGAAGATGTCGACATCTGATCATCCAGAGGCAGATGGTCGGACGGGAAGAGCCAATCGTGTCCTCGAAGAGATACTTCGAGGATACGTACACTCCTTTAAGAGTTGGAGTGAGTTTTTGCCAATAGTAGAGTTTGCCATCAACAACTCGGTGCATGCGTCCACGACACATACACCGTTTTACGTGAATGGCTTGCGCCATCCGCGTGTACCCACCTTACTAGAGTGTAACTCTGGTTTAAGGGGGGGAGGGACTCGCGCGAGCAAAAACCGATTTGGTCCACGCTCATCACGCTCGGACGATGAGGTCATTGCGTTTGATGCCAATATCGATAGCATCGATATCGAAGAAGATGATGCCAGTGAGAGCGCGGAAGCCCTCACTGAAGAAAAGATTGATGTTGCTGCAGTGCACTTCGGCGCACTGAAGCTAACGAGTCAGCAGATGAGTTCATACTGGCTCGTGAAACGGTAGTCCGTTTCGTGCAAGACTCCATCGCCGAAGCGGTGAATAAGCAAAAGCAAAACGAAGACAAGAATGGAAGGGCAAACACTCTTTTATTTAGTAAAGGTGACTTAGTCCTACTGTCTACGGTTAATCTACCAAAGCATGAAGTGACTTACTTGGGTAGCAGTAAACTACTACCCAAGTACATCGGCCCATTTCGTGTATTGCACCGCCTAGGCAATGCATACACGATCGAGTTACCATGTAAGATGCGAACGCATCCCACGTTTTACGTTGGTCGGCTTAAGCCGTACCATCAGTACGCTGTTTCTTCCGATGAAGAACGCCCTTGCGCTCAAGCATCTCGCAGAGAGCCTTGTGCTCCCGATGGTGGGCATCAACAAGGGTCTGAAGAGCAGTTATCTCAGCCCGAGACCGATCAACAATCCCACGAGCTACCCTTAGCTCGTCACGAAGAGATGTCAGAGATCTCTCGTTCTCGAGCTGAGCAAAGGCAAACTCAGCTCGATGCTTCAAGGCAGTGTCCGCCATTTGGAGACGCATATTCCGCTCATGCTCGAGATCGTCGCGTAACCCTTGCGTTACGCGATCAAAGAAGCTCTCAGGAACACACCGATCCACATGATCGTGTGGAGAGCGTCTTTCCTCCTCCTCCACCTCCATTAGAGGACTCTCGCGGTGGCCAGCGCTATCTAGTTGAGCAGCTGTTGAACCACCGCGACGTGAACGGACGTCGGACGAGTTATCTCGTCCGGTGGCGCGGTTCTCCCCCGTCCTAGGATACTTGGAAGCCCCGCTCCCAACTGATGATCGACGTACTGGGTCTGGTTGAGCAGTACGACGCGGCACATCCTGTGCCGCAGAAGGACCGCCGGAGAAAGTCTTCCCGGCACGGTCGTAAAGGGATTTCAGGTTGTCAATCCCTTCGTACATCTCAGTAGAGACACGTACGCGCCACCACGGGCTGGTAAGGAGGTAAGCCTCCTTAGGTGCTCGTGCAGAGTTGTTCACACAACATGGGCACGAGTCTCCCCAAGAGAGGCAGGGTAATCCTTTCTCCCTTGACAGACGATGCAGCTTGTAGCGTGCACCTGTCGGGGTTCGCTTTTCAAACTTATCACGAGCTTTGATAAGTTTGTCGTTCCAAGCGTCACGACCTACATCCTCGAGGTTATGGATGTAGGCGTTCCACGCTTGAAGTAGTGAGGGACCATCACGCTTGTGGTTCCCACTGTACCATCGAAGATTAAAGAAAGCATCGATGAAGAATTCATGTTCAGCGCGATAGTTTTTCGAGCTGGGGTCAAGGTGATGGATCCTTGACGAATCGAACAATCGTGTTCGATAACGATCACTCGTCGTCGCCGACAAGTGATCCATGACTGACTTTTGAGGCAGCCATGCCTTCTTTTCGGGAGCGAGACGCAACACGTTCCAGTCCCGATCTTCCTGTGACGTGCCGACAGAAGTACTGGCACCTCGCTGTGAAGTGGTGTCCATAGGAAAACCGACACCACTATTAGCGCCCGAGTCTCGCGACCTCGAGCGCCTTTGCTTCGGCGATGGTTCATCTGATGAATCAGATGAACCAAAGATGCTGCGACGCAAAGCATCGTCCATGCCACGCTTGGCTGGCGGCTTAGATTCAATCGCCGTCGATACAGACCCCTCTTCTGTATCAGGGGAGTATGAGACACCGAGCTCATACTCTGTGAAGACATGAGTGATTCATGACGAGCGCCTGCATCACCAGATGAATCAGGCTGAGACGCTTTAGCAACCGATGACACATCGGTAGCAGCGGTTTCTGCTTCGGCGTCTGCACAGAGACGTGCAGACGCGCTCTCAGCGGCCTTGTTCGCGCACCGCATGGACTTCTTAACCATGCGATGAGATATTGGAAAGTGGACTCGGACCAACAAGTGCAAACCCTGTCCCAAATGATTTGGGACGAGTATCCATTTAGTCAATCAGTCACTAACGTGACGACGGTTAAGGAGGAGGTGATGTAACGGGGTGAACAGTTACATAACAATTTATAAGAAATTGTTAATACAATATGACTACAAGAGTTATATTCTCAGAATATTGTCATAAGGACAATATTCTGCAGCACTTACGAGTAGTTCCTATTTGGTTGGTATTGGCCATTATATCAACCAACGAAGACGCGCCACGACAGACGCACGCAATGAGTGGTGAGCAGATAGTTGATGCACATGTTTGTATTCAGACTTAGTTAGATGAGGATAAACAGTGTTTTATTAACAGACACTAACTATTACAGGTACAGTTCTACTTTTTACTTTAGCCAAGTACTCGCTTCTCCTTACCGTCTTCCTCTGCACGTACCAGTGTACGTGACGTAACGAGGCACCGCCTCATTCTGTCATCAGAATAAGTAGCTTGTACTGTCACCAGTACAAGCTTGAGGGTGCCCCGTTACAAACAAGCCAGTTAATTAATAATCACAGCGTCTCGATCACCACAAGTATATAGTGTCGCGTCGTGTATTACGCCGGCATGATATAAAAGAGCTTACTACGCATGACGAAAACAATCCTTCCAGGGGCGCCTCAGAAGCGTTTGCATCGAGCCCCCAGGACATCTAGTGACAACGTGATAATAAAGATGAGATCGATGCAACGGACCTTGCCACTGGCACAAGTTTACATGTGCACAGAACATTATTGCGAGCCCGAAGGGTGAACGTTATGGTTACTGTGCGCAAGGGTAATGCCGAGATTTTATAATGTCATTATTTGTCTGCTTGTCTATCAAGATGTTTGTCTGTCTGTGAGTGTGTCTGTCAGTCTTCAAATAACGCTTTGTAACTTACATTTAAACGAAGTACGTAATATGTCCCCTCTGTTTATGTAGCAAATTCCGGTGTACCTTACACGTCCCATTAAGTGCGATAAAGCCTGCCACCTGATGGATCCGCGATTAACGCCGGGTGTACCTTACACGACTTGCTGAGTGCGATTTAGTACGTGACCTCCTGTATATGTGAACAACGCAGGGCATGCCGCACATGGCGCACTCAGTGCGATGTAGCGTGTCGTGAGTAATGCTAGATTTGCCTTAGACGTCGTACTAAAGGCGAAGTAGCCTGTCTTATCGTTTGCATGCGTCTGTAAAAAAGCGCTTGGCGTACCTAAAACCTAGCGCTTTTTTGTGTACCTTACACGTCGCGTAAAGTGCATATATGTTTCGCCATTTCATCGGTCAATAGGCATGATTGTGGGCCTGACAAGGGAACCTGATGGTTACCGGGCGCAAGGTACGTGAATTTACAGAACTTGATTCAGTACCTTGGACTGATGTATTTATATTTAAGGGCAAGCTCTTGACCTTATTCACCTATGTTCATGGAGATAAATTAGATTGAGAGAGTTTAGTCTGATTCTGAGATAAAATCGTGACCAAAACCTCGGACTGCTGATCACGTTAAGTACTACGGATGTTAAATACTTTCCATTTTAGTATTTACCGTACATGCGATATATTCGCTGCCCTAAGTGACTAACATGTGCTTGTTATCCGTCTTTCCGCCCTTGATCACTTTTGAGATAAGTATGCGCGGGAATTAACGCGTGTGTGAACAGTACACACCTTAGCCATCGCAATTAGTGATCATACTAGAGAATGACATCGGTAATGCTTATCGACCTATAAAGAGGAAATAAATGCTACACATTACAACAAGTACGACGTACATGGAACACCTCGCCTTAATTGACAGACATACAGGACAGACAGACGCGAAGCCATATGGAAGCACCGAACAAAGGTTTGAAAGTTTGGTATGCACCTTGTGTAACGAGGTCAATCGTTACATAACAATTTATAAGAAATTGTTAATAGAATATAACTATAAGAGTTATGTTCTCAGAATATTGTCATAAGGACAAATATTCTGTAGCACTTACAAGTAGTTCCTAATTGGTTGATATAGGCCATTATATCAACCAACGAAGACGCGCCACGACAGACGCACGCAATGAGTGGTGAGCAGATAGTTGGTGCACATGTTTGTATTCAGACATAGTTAGATGAAGATAAACAGTGTTTTATTAACAGACACTAACTATTACAGGTACAGTTCTACTTTTTACTCTAACCAAGTACTCGCTTCTTCTTACCGTCTTCCTCTGCACGTACGAGTGTACGTGAAGTTACGAGGCACCGCCTTATTCTGTTATCAGAATAAGTAGCTTGTACTGTCACCAGAACAAGCTTCAGGGTGCCCTGTAACGGGGTGAATCGTTACATAACAATTTATAAGAAATTGTTAATAGAATATAACTATAAGAGTTATATTCTCAGAATATTGTCATAAGGACAATATTCTGTAGCACTTCAAGTAGTCCTAATGGCTGATATAGGCCATTATATCAACCAACGAAGACGCGCCACACAGACGACGCAATGAGTGGTGAGCAGATAACTGATTTAACATTTGTATTTAGACATAGTTAGATGAAGATAAATAGTGATTTATTGCAGACATTAACTATTATAAATAAGTTCTACTTTACTCTAACCAGTACTCGCTTCTTCTTACCGTCTTCCTCTGCACGTACAGTGTACGTGAAGTTACGAGGCACCGCCTTATTCTGTCATCAGAATAAGTAGCTTGTACTGTCACCAGTACAAGCTTCAGGGTGCCCCGTTACACCTGGTAGCACTTTGTAGTCCGTCCAAGGACCGCGTTCACATCCAACATGAATATGTTGGATGATGAAGATGACCAAAGCTTTCACGCTACGCGTGACGGCTACTCCCATTTGAGCGATGTCGAATGGGATGCGGTTGAACGAATGGGTTCGACCATGGGCATCCATGCTGTTAGCGTCATGCTAGAGGCTCTCAATAGAGATGCCCAACATGCTACTATCGCCAAGTTCATTCAAAATGAACTTGACGCTGAACGCGAGAAAGTAGCCTTGCTTCACCAACAAGGTTCTCAACAAGCAGAGTTGTTGAGAGAACAGGGTGCTCAA